GATTACATTTTATCTCATCATCAATCAACGTTATAAAATTACTTCATCAAATTCTTCCACCCCACCGAGCCCCACCAATCCAAAAACTAAATAATAAGGTAGTCACGATTTAGTATTTACAAAGTTTTTATTCTCGATAGGAAGATATTCATTATTCACCTTGCACCATTAAAACAAGTATCATGCTTTAAATGTAAATTAGTGTTATAAGCCATATGAAAAAGGGTGAGAGGTTACAGTTTGCAGCATCATTATCATTCAGTCTAAGGAAAAGAGCTGTATCATGTGTGGTGATTGTAGAATATGCAGAAACCATCAGCTCAAACTTCCTTTTTGTGTAAAGTTCTGCAGAAAACTCATATTACAAAATAAAATCAAAACCAGATGCCTAGGAACGTCAAACAACACAAAACTTCAATAGGAAAATTTCTCCATGGCCAAAAATATAAAGGAATTAACCTTGAAAAAAACAAATTAGGATTTTTACTTTTTAGTATTCAATTTCTATGACCAGGCGTTAAAAGAATTTCCATTTTAACCAACCCCCACCCAATAAATAAGGAGAGTTCCTCCGTCCACTTGGACGGAGGCACTCCAACTTTCTGAGTGCATGTACCTCCAGCATCTACCTTATTCTTATCATCTGAGTTCTGAAATTTGGTTTAATATAATGAGAAACAAATCCCAAACAAAGAACTGGGAGATCAACAAGAGATTTGTTGAACAGGTAAAAGTTACATACCATATTAAAAAGATTTGTACCAGCTTCTTCCTTAGGTATAGCAGGAATGAGATCTACTTCTGGCCTGATACAGACAGGTGTATAAGTGCATTTTCTTTAAAGCAGTAGGATGGACATGAAAAAAAAATGAAAAAGGCAAACAGAAGTCATTATCCAAAAAATTCAGGTTGTCTCACTGACTTTGTTTGATTCTGTGGCTCTAAAGATGAATCATCAGCAGTATTAGATGTAGTTGATTCTAATGGCTCTACTTCATGAGACAGTCCAAAACTTTACTTGTTTAGTTAATTTAAATGTCGAGCCACATAAAATATAAAGAAATAACTTCACCTTCTCTGGCTCCTCTTCATCAAAATTGGAGACTCTGAAGTTGAACTGATATGCTAGATTTAATTCTTGTCATAAATGCTGCAATAGAGAACTCATTCCACAAGTCCTGTAATACAAGCCAAAAAAATCATCATCAAATCACTTATACATCAGAAGAACAAATTATGAAGTTGTAACAATGAAGGAAACTGGGAGAATTTAAAAAAACTAAAAAAAATTACAAAGAAAAATACCTCAATTTTGGATAGCTTGCCTTCATCTAAGACTTTGAAAAGGGAAAAACCCATTGGGGTTTCGAATAGCAGTAACATTCTTCTTGCTCTAAATCGTCGACCAGTTCGAAGCGCGAATCTGCAAAAATATCTATGAAAGAGAGTGAAGAATCATCTTTTTTAAATTCTTTTTCCTCAATTTGTCAACAGCCAGAAATTTTGAATTAAACCGGAAAACAAAATTGGAAAAATGAAATCTTACTTGTGAACTGCCTCTTTGAATTTCTCTTCATCGAAAAATTGAAGTATTGCACGCGGACGGAGGCAGCACATGGGGCACCAGCACGGAGGCACAGCATGCCTCCGTGGGCAGCGTGCCTCCGTCCGCGTGCACGGAGGCACGCAAGCTGGTGCCCCCGTGCGCAGCCACACAATTGGTTTATTGCTAAAAATCCCGCTGAGATGAGTGAAAGTTGCTAAAGCAAAACATTAACTTGGTTCTCGGCAGTGCAAATCTAATAATCCAAACTATCCAAAAAAAAGAAAAAACTTAATTAACTAAGCATTTCATAACTTCATAGATTTAGAGAAACAGAACAAACCTAAGTAGATGGATCAAAATTGAACTCAATTTCTTCGTTTCAAAAATTATTGTTTCCTCGTAAAATTAAATTTCATATCAAACTAAGAGAAGAAGTGCCTGATTTGATTTTGATTGCGAAAGAGATGAAGCAAAGATAAGAAGAAAGTGAAACTCCATGGTGAGAAATCAGATCCAAAGTAAACAAGTCAAACATGCCGGTAAAATTCAATTTCAACAATCACCAATTAAATTAACTAAAAATCCAAAAAAAAATACGTAGTTAAATTGAATTTAAGAATTGCAATAGATTGATGGTAATAGAAAATACATTCACAGCAAAAAATTGAAACCTATTGAAAAACAATTGGCATTAAAATACCTTATTTCAATCACTATTTTGAGCAATCCATTTCTCAAACGTCGAAAACTTCGAATCCTGCAAAAACAAGGTTGGGTGAAAAAATTAAAGCAGCATGTAGAGAGAATGGAGAAAAAACAAAACCGTAACAACCCAAAACCCGAAAATATAATCCAAACCTGAGGTAGTCCAATGAAAGGTTGTGTGGGAAAATGGAGGAAAATGGAGGAGGAGTGGTTGGTTGCGTGAGATAATAGAGAAGCAGCGGTGTGAGAATTTTTGAGAATTTTTTTTTTTTTTTAAAGGGGATTTTTGACGACGACGGGAAATGACGATACATGTAAGATTTGTTTAGCCTCTTTTAATTTATAGTGATATTGTTATAGTCCGTGTACTCTTTAGAAGTTGAAATTTTTATTTTTGATTATTGAATAAAAATATTAATTATGTAACGCTGTGATATCACATTTAGCTCATTTTATAAACTATTTTTTCAAATTACTTTTTATTCACCAATTTCGAAGAATTTATAAATACTACACTCACATATTTTTATTAAATTATAATCTAAACAGTTTATAAACAATTCATTATACGAAGAAAGTTAAAAACGAATTACTAGGCCCAAGTTTTTCGAAATAAGTGCATATTTGATTTAGGTAAAAATTAATTTTTGTAGTAAATTTTAATAAAAGTTGAGAAATGTGTGATTGAAAAATTAATAAAAATTATGAATGTATAAAATGTATAGTTAAAATTAATTGTTTGTTTTTTAAGTAAAACAAAACAAGAGCTAGTTCGGTGGGGATTAAAATCAGATTTTTTAGTAGATTTTAATGAAAGTTGATAAAATATATAATTAAAAAGCTGTGAATTCCATAAAATATGTGATTAAAATTAAGAACATGTTTGAAAGTGATTAAAATTCAATTAAAATTAAAAATATAGCAGTTATTGGGTCCCACTCGTCTAATAAAAGTCAATAATAACAACTAATTTTTCAATTTTAATCCGATTTTAATCTCTACCGAACACGCCGTAAGTATTGTTTGATCCCATTATTTCTAAAATGCATTTTTTTCTTTTCTTTTAATCACACATTTTTCAATAAAATAATATTTCACGCAAATTAACAAAATTTCCTTATTTTTCAATCACACATTTATTATCAATCTATTATTTAAGGATGCATTCTTAAGAAAATGGAGCTCAAAAGAGCTCAAATGATTGAATTTGATTTAAATTAAAATTTAAAATTTTAATCCTTCTGAAGATTTTTTCTTTTTCGAGTATCAAGTCGGTAAGCCGCCTTGCCTGGTCCGTAGTCAATGTTGTACGCACAAGTTGGGACCCAGCAAAACGCATTTGAATCTGCTAATTGGGTCATTGACGCTCTATTTTCAAGTCAATATTCACAGTATGGAAACGTGTGAATAAAATACAATGATAATTTCCTAATTGATGACAACTACCGAGACTATGTTTGATGGCAATTCATCTACGTGTACAAAATTTGTTGACAAAATATATATTGACAAGATTTAAGTCAATGATTGTAAACCAATTTTGTACACATATGATGACTCGTTTTATGGACATTATTTTGAAAAAAATGGAATTTTGAATAGTAACTGTAATTTTTTAAAGAATGTATTGTTAAAAAATTGGAATTTTAATTTTAATTTAAGTCAAAGTCAATAATTAATTTACCATATATTTTTTCGACTTTTATTAAAATCCATTAAAAATCTTATTTTAATTCACACCAAACAGGGGCTAAAACTACGAAGATTTTCCATATAAAATAAATGAAAAAATGTTTATTCTGCATAACTACTTACATAATGTTTTTATATGATAATGTATCGAAATATAAGTGGTGAAATTATTTGATTGATAATATTTAAATCTAGGCACATTATTTGTTGGTAAATTATTATTCAAATTGTTATGTACATGTAGCACAACCAAAAATAAATTTACCAAAAATGGGGAATAGAAAAGGACCAAAATATCAAGTTATTGACTTAGTTGGTCACGACTCACGAACTTATACGTTTGTTTCAAATTGATCACCCATCTTTAATGTATTTCAAATTAATCATCCAGGTTCATATTGTGTTTCATTTTAGTCACCCATCCATCGCATTGAATTAGTCTAAATCGGGTGTTATTAGTAGTTTTAGTTTGATTAGCTTAGGAGTTAGGATAGAAAGTTAATTAGTGTTCCAAAATATTAAGGAAACATGTTGATTTTTATTTTATTTTATTTTATATATTTATATTGAATCAAATAAAGAAACGTCGAGAAATTATCTCTATAAACTTGTTGTTGCCCCTGTTTGTCTCCTATTATGGGAGAAAGAATGGAGTTTTGAATAATATTTTTTGGAGAATGTGTAGTTAAAATTTAAATTTTTTTATTGGTTTGTGTGTAGAATATTTTATTATGGATCTTGCTTGGGGTACATAGAGCATAACATAGGGGTTGACATAATACTCACATGAAGTGGGACCCATGTGAGGTGGGATCCACACATAGGTCAAATCCCATGTGAGTATTATGTGTACCATTATGTAGAAACATTATGTACCAATAGACTTTTCCTTTTATTATTTGAATGTGTGGTGGAGAATGTTAACGTAGAAAACAAATAAAGGGAGACAAACAAGCCCTTTATGTTTTCATTCTATTATTTGTATTTGAACGAGTCTAAATACGTTGAATTAATACATTCTTCGTCTCTTTTCTTCTTCTTTTATTTTATTTGTTTTTTGCGTTGTTCTTAACAAATTTCTATTTTCTTCTCTATTGTCTTTTAGACCAGTGTCTTAAATAATTGATGTTAAATAACAATAACTAAAATTAACACTATTTTTAATTCCACGTCAAAATTTTCCAACTCGGCAATCCCATAGCGACTAATTTGAAACACAAAATATACTCAAGTGATTAATTTGATTATTTTATTATTTGAATGTGTGATAAAGAATGTTACCATAGAAAACAAATAAAGGGAGACAAACAAGCCCTTTATGTTTTCATTCTATTATTTGTATTTGAACGAGTCTAAATACGTTGAATTAATACATTCTTCGTCTCTTTTCTTCTCCTTTTATTTTATTTGTTTTTTGCGTTGTTCTTAACAAATTTCTATTTTCTTCTCTATTGTCTTTTAGGCCAATGTCTTAAATAATTGATGTTAAATAACAATAACTAACATTAACACTATTTTTAATTCCACGTCAAAATTTTCCAACTCGGCAATCCCATAGCGACTAATTTGAAACACTTTATATGAGTTCACTAATTAAACTAATAAATTAAAGATTGAGGACTAAATTGAAACAAGGGTGTACTTTCGGTGACCAATCAAGTTATTTAACCAAAAAGATCTTCACCTGTTACCTGTCCCACTACAAGTGGAGAACCGGCCAAGTGGCGGAAGGAGGCAAAACAAAAATTAATCTCACACCGTCAGATACTTTCGTGACGCAGTCGTATCCAACGGCAGTAAAATAATTAGGCTTTTCGAACATTCTAGAACACGAAATCCAACGCGCTGCTACTCTATAAATACTCTCTGCACCTCGAATCTCTAATCCTAGTAAACCCTAATTCTCTGAACGCATCTCTCCCAAATTTTTCTCAAACTCGCCGACTCAGGGTACAGCATGGCAGGAAAAGGAGAAGGACCCGCGATTGGAATAGATCTAGGAACAACGTACTCGTGCGTCGGCGTATGGCAACACGATCGTGTTGAAATCATCGCCAATGACCAGGGTAACAGAACAACGCCGTCTTATGTTGCCTTCACCGATAGCGAACGCCTTATCGGCGACGCCGCCAAGAACCAGGTCGCCATGAACCCGATCAACACCGTTTTTGGTAAGATCTGTGCTCCCTTTATTCTACTATCAATACATGAACGCTTTCGTATTTATATTTTTGCGTTGTTTCTCCAGATCTATGTTTGTAATATATTTTGGTTGATTCGAATACGAGTACTGTGTAGTTGTTAATTGCAGATCCGTTATTTCATTGTTTGTGTTTCGATCTAATGTCTAGATTTGTAGAATCTGTTATGCCGCACTAAAAGAGTGTACATCAGCCTTTTTTTAATCCACGTTGACCTGTAATCAATAATAAATGTGCATGCTTATATGTGGAAATTCGCTCTCTTGTGGAACAATAATTAGATCTATGTTAATCCTCTGAAAATGTACATAAAAGTTGTAATCTTCTAATAGTTGTATTTTGCAGATCTGGGTATTAATCATGCCTGCTTGCAATTACTATCTATTGGTGGAACTACAATCCTTTGATTTTAGATCTAGGAGAAATAGGAATTTTCATATTTGTTTTCGTTTGTACTCTTAAGACCCATTCGGAACTTTCACACTGTTTTCCAGAGTTGGTATTCATATAGTACACTGAGTTCTGTTTTAAATGATTTCATCGTAAGAGGAGCTAAATCGCAATTGTCATAATGTGTTTTATTTTACCTTTAAATTCATAGGAACTAAAACATGCAGCTTACTCGATGAGCAAGTGGTACAACCGATTGCATCATAATTGGGTGTGAAGATTATAATTTCATACTATGCAGTTGTTATAATGTATTTTTATTTTCCCTTTAAAAATTCATAACAAATAAACACGCGACCTACGTTATGAGCAAGGGTACGACATAATTGAATGTGAAGATTGGAATTTCATGTTAACTCCAAACTTCTCGTTCTTTTACTTGTTTGTTTTTATTCAGAGCTCCTATACTGTAGTAACAGAGTATGACAGTGTTTGTTTGCATGTTAAAAGGACGAGTGTAATGGTTTTTGAAAACAAATTTGATGAGTTATTTGGTCTCGTCAATATATATAATCATTATTTTCAAGTTATATGTTTTCTATATGCTGGAAGATACAAGGTTATTTGTGATGCCCCATAGCCCATCAATGCCATTAGAACTACGGTTTTCTGTGTTTATAACTGGCCTTGTAAAGCTTTAAGTCTTTCCTCTCTCTCTAAAATCCATACACTTATGATGTTTGCCCGTTTGCAGATGCTAAGAGGTTAATTGGTAGGAGATACAGTGATGCCTCTGTACAGAGTGATATCAAGTTGTGGCCCTTCAAGGTCATCCCTGGAGCTGCTGACAAGCCAATGATAGTGGTTAACTACAAGGGCGAAGAGAAACAATTTGCAGCTGAGGAGATCTCTTCCATGGTGTTAATAAAGATGAAAGAAATTGCCGAAGCGTACCTTGGTTCAACTGTCAAGAATGCTGTGGTCACAGTCCCAGCATACTTCAATGATTCCCAGCGTCAAGCTACTAAGGATGCAGGTGTTATTTCTGGTCTCAATGTGATGCGCATCATCAATGAGCCCACAGCTGCTGCTATTGCTTATGGGCTTGACAAGAAGGCAACCAGTGTTGGTGAGAAGAATGTCCTGATCTTTGATCTTGGTGGTGGTACTTTTGATGTCTCTCTTCTTACCATCGAGGAGGGTATCTTTGAGGTGAAGGCAACCGCTGGTGATACTCACCTTGGAGGTGAGGATTTCGACAACAGAATGGTCAATCACTTTGTTCAAGAATTCAAGAGGAAGAACAAGAAAGACATCAGCGGTAACCCCAGGGCTCTGAGGAGGTTGAGGACTGCTTGTGAGAGAGCGAAGAGGACTCTCTCATCCACTGCCCAGACCACCATCGAGATTGACTCTCTCTACGAGGGTATTGATTTCTACTCCACCATCACTCGTGCCAGATTTGAAGAACTTAACATGGACCTGTTTAGAAAGTGTATGGAGCCAGTTGAGAAATGTTTGAGGGATGCCAAGATGGATAAAAGCACAATCCATGACGTTGTCCTTGTTGGTGGTTCCACTAGAATTCCCAAGGTTCAGCAATTGCTGCAGGACTTTTTCAATGGCAAGGAGCTCTGCAAGAGTATCAACCCTGATGAGGCTGTTGCTTATGGTGCCGCTGTTCAAGCTGCAATTTTGAGTGGTGAGGGTAATGAGAAGGTGCAGGACCTTCTACTTTTGGATGTTACTCCTCTCTCCCAAGGTCTGGAAACTGCAGGCGGGGTAATGACTGTGTTGATTCCAAGGAATACTACCATCCCAACCAAGAAGGAGCAAGTATTCTCTACCTACTCAGACAACCAACCAGGCGTGTTGATTCAGGTATTTGAAGGGGAGAGAACAAGGACTAGGGACAACAACTTACTCGGTAAATTTGAGCTCTCGGGCATTCCTCCAGCACCAAGGGGAGTTCCTCAGATCACAGTGTGCTTTGACATTGATGCTAATGGTATCTTGAATGTTTCTGCCGAGGACAAGACCACCGGGCAGAAGAACAAGATCACAATTACCAATGACAAGGGTAGACTTTCAAAGGAGGATATTGAGAAGATGGTTCAGGAAGCAGAGAAGTACAAGTCTGAGGACGAGGAACACAAGAAGAAGGTTGAGGCGAAGAATGCTTTGGAGAACTATGCATACAACATGAGGAACACTATTAAGGACGAGAAGATTGCATCCAAGCTCCCCGAAGCTGATAAAAAGAAGATTGAGGATGCCATTGAGCAGGCCATCCAGTGGCTAGATGGGAATCAGCTAGCTGAGGCAGATGAGTTTGAGGACAAGATGAAGGAGCTGGAAAGCATCTGCAATCCCATCATCGCAAAGATGTACCAGGGTGCAGGTGGTGACATGGGCGGTATGGGTGGTGCTGCCATGGATGACGATGGTCCTGCCCCTAGTGGTAGCGGAGCTGGTCCCAAGATTGAGGAAGTCGACTAAATCCATTATAGCGTTCTTTATGTGATATTTTATTATCGTCAATTTTTGTTATCGTTTTGTGTTTGCCTATTTTCACAATACTTTTCTATGGAAAAGTGGTATTATTTCTGGATATTAGTGTCTTTACGTATTGTTTAGAATATATGTCTTCGGAAATGCACGATCCTTCTGTTTTATGGCATCTTCACAACGCTTTCCGTTCTCATGTTAATAATTATGACATAATCAGTTGAAATATATTTATAGCTATGAAATTTGTTGCTTTGGTTACTCCCTAATATCAGTATAAAAATGGAGATTTTGCCGACGATGTGAAATTGCGAACGATTTATTAAGCGTTGTGAAATAAAATTTTAAATAATTAATTAATTCTTTCTTTCTTTTATTTATTATAAACAAAAAAGGGAAAATTACTTAATTTTTAACCCAAATAATACCAACAAACGAGACGCCAAGATTGAATCCCCCTTTTTTTAACTTGAGAATGTCCGTACTATGAACATTCAAAATTTTACAGCCTTCACAATCAATTGAATCTCAAACCATTGAAGTCTTTTCATGCAATGCATCACCTAACAGTTATTTCAACTAACTTGAATTATTAAAGCAGTGGGACATGTTCCATAGTTATGTGAGCAAAGCCATATCCTTTATCACCCCTTTCTACGCCTATCAAATTTGACCTTTTATCCATCTTTTTCTAGTCGAATGGTGGAAATAACACCACTAGTGAACTTGCCTTATCGTTGAAGTCCCTTTCTCTTATCACTAATATCAATTATCAAGGGAAAGGAGTTTAGCTAGAACTCGCCTTCTGGGGGCTCCACATAAAATGATGTCCTGCAAGAAGGTGTATAATTATAAAATGATCAAACATACTTGCCCAGTGTGGTGGCATCACTCAACCTACGGCTAATGGCGTTAAATGAGCAACTCAACGTTAAAGTTCTTAGCTCTCGTCCAACATATCAAAAAATTGCTGGGGATAACAGGAGCTCTCCTAGGGGTTGAAGCTACTTCAAGCTCAACCATAAAGCTGCTGAGATAGAAGGTGCCATGAATACAGTATTACTTCTCGACCTTATTGGCCAATGGGGCAAATGGGATTCACAGCGATCCAGTACAAGAACCTAAAAACTGCTTAAAAGGATTTGAACTCACTATAGTCTATAGCTACATTGGCTAATGGAAATAATCAGGATGAACACATTTGGACAAAATTTGTGGAATGGTACATTAAAGCACTACAAGTTTCCCCACAGGCACAATAAATGAATTCCATTCGTGTGCGTAGCGCTAGTAGATTCAAGAGCCACAGCATAAACTGTTCATGGTCCTAATGCTAAAATACTATACGACTGCCCAGGAAACGAATCCATAGCCATCTGATAAATCATTCATAGAAGATCATTTACAGTATCAACAGGAGATCAGGAGATGGTCCTGAATCTTAATCACAATTTATATGGAGAAAATACAACAAAAATGGTAGACCTGATTGATACTTATTTGCTTCATTCCAACTGAGTAAATAATTAGGCAGGGTTAAGAATAAATTAACTGATAATATAATAGCAATAGTAATAGTAATAGGAGAAATAATCATAGCTAGTTAGATAAATAGGAACAAACCCATAGCTATTAGTGTTCCCCTTTTCACAGAAAATGGAGAGATGAATTGTTGTAGCAATAGTAATAGGAGAAATAATCAAAGCAAGTCAGATACATAGGAACAAACCCATAGCTATTATGGAAACAGATACAAGGAGTTTAAAATGCATAATCGGTTCTGTTGGTTACAAATGTAAGTTCACGACATTACTGCAAAATGGAGAGCCATTCGTAACAATTGCATTTCATCAGGTACATATCTATGTCAACTTAAGATCATTACCCACATGGTGAGGACGAAGGCAAACACGAACTTCATGTTCTTCTGGTCCTGCACGAAGTTTTGGCACCAGTATTTCGAGCACTGTTCCTGGTCCGTCATAATATGCTTCTATATTAGCATCTTCAGGAATTCGGGTCAAAACTGGGATTTCTCTGACAAATTCTCCCGGAGGGCAGTGTTCTGATGATGGATCCGTTAGCTTGAAAGTTCTGTTGTGTCTCTTTATAAATTGTGTTCGAGATGTACTAATGCAGGAGACCTTGATGATTCCGTGTGTGAGTGTGTTCTTCCATGAAACTTTCACCCTTTGAAGATCTACGGAAGGCAAGCTGATTATAATCAAATAACCTTCTTCATCCTCGTAGATTGTTTTGGCAGCCGTAACAGGTCCATAAACGTTTCTCAGCACCCCACTAAATTCGTTCAGCCAGTGTGGCCCATTTGGGTGAATTTCCAAATTGGGGATACGTTCAGAAGGAGCTGTTATTTCCAAATATTGATCATCATCATTACCTTGTGAGAAGAAATCCTTCTTCCTCTTGTTGCTGACGGGTGATAGATCCATCGCTTCCCCATTGATATGGTTAGATGTCTGAGTCGACAGATTTAACACAGATCCATTAAGCAATTTCTTCGAGTGGGAATGTGGACTACTCTTTATAGGAGGTGGCGGCCTCTCAAGTTCAATCTCAGTGTTCAGCAGATTTCTCCAGGAACTGAAATCACTAGCTTCAGGTAAAATAGTGAAGTTTGGGTCCCTCCCTGTGAGTTCGGTCCATCTTTTTAGGTCATCTTCATCGAGACCATTGAGATTGGGTGATGGAACCACTTCGATGCCGTGAACACATTGAGGGTTTGAGAGTCCCCTGTAATGCTTACGTTGCATCCTATGAGATCGAACAAAACCTTTATCAACACTAAACGGAAAAGGACGCTCTCCCTGACGAGAATGCCCATTCATATAACTCCGGAGCTGCATCTTTCCCAGAGCATTCTCAGGCCTTTCCTTGAAAACCCACATATACATATTTTCCATATCGTGTTGAACCAAGAAAACATCGAGCTGGAGATCAGACTTATCAAACCCGGAAATCCCATTACTGTCACGAACTATCTTTGCCTTTGATTTCTCATTCAATACAGGCTTGAAGTAAAAGCTAAAGAAGAACCAAGCGCCCCAGATGCTATCAATCCTTTTTGCACATTTCCTCCCAACTTTGGGGGCACTGAGGAAACTTTCAGTCTCAAACATCTGGGAACCTAGTCCTACGTCAAGAATATCACAGTGTTCATGGTTCCAAGGCTGTGGAGGGGGACTCCGCTCGGCTGAAAGGGGTAAATTGATATCAGGCGGACAGGTTAATACAACTTGGCGACTCATTTCGAGGTCTAGTTCTTCATGTGACGATGAGGCACTCGAGTCCATGGATAAGAGAGTTGAAGGGTGATGATTCTCCATTGATAAAGCTGTCAGCAGACTATCATCCATCTCGAAACTATCCTCGTCTTTGATCAATTTTCGAAAAGTGCATCTATAAACTTCATCCCAATAAACATTTTGACAAAATACTAGTCTTTATAAACACTGTCAATCCCAGATACAAATCCCCATCTTCATCAGAATCTTAATTTGTTCATCCCAAAATTGTGTTTTAAGTTCAACAACTTACACCCCTCAGACTAAATTTTACAAACCCTAGGTCAAAAAGGAAACTGAATTCCTAACCCAACTCCTTTTTCCCCCTAAATTATTAATTGAAAACGGCAACAATATTATCAAGAAAATCAAGAACAAGAAATAAACAGAACGGAGTATGCCAAAATAAGTAAAACTTCAACACCTGTAACGTAATTAAGAAAAATAGTAAAAAGCTAGATGAAAACCAAATCTAACCCAAAGCCAAGAATCTCCATGAACCCTCCAAACACAGGTGGGAGAGAGTGAATCAGACCCATAAAATCCATACTCCCAAAGGAAAATCCTATCCGCAATAAACTTAATCTTTCTGTATCTATATATGAATATTACCAGTCTATGAAACCAAGGCCCAGGAAAAGGACCAAATCTGACGGGATCTTGGAAGAATACCTTTTGGGATAAGCTTCCACAACGAAGAATCCAAAGAGACCAGCACACTCAGAAGAATCATTAGTCCTCACAATCCTCATCTTCACTCTATTTTTCAACCTTCAACAATACAAAAAGTCTCCCTATTTTTCTCAACTATCAAACCTTCAATTTCTTGATATCTTCTTTTGTCAAAAGATACATAAACGTTGACATACCGCAAATTGCTGTAAATAGAGAGAGAAAACAAGAAATGAAAACGCGTATTTGGGTTTGTTTTGTGAATTTTCGTGGGCTGGGACGTTGGGTTGTGTCCTTGTTAACCTGTAGGTGTAGCCTACGACTAGGAGAGGTAAAAACCTGCACTGAATGATGCTTCTGGGCCAGGGTGGCGGTGACGGTGACGTTAGGACGGTGTTAAGGTCGCGTGAGTCAACGTACGACAATATCCGAATTGTATCGGTTATTCATTCTTCTTATTGTCGATCACACATTTTTCAATAAGATAATATTTTTATCATATTAGTGTGTGTTTGGTAGGGATTTTTTGGGGGAAGAATTGATTTTGAATAGTGATATGATGGAAAATGTGTGGTTGAAAAAGAAGATAAGATTATTAATGTGATAGAAAATATTATTTTATTGAAAAATGTGTGGTTGAAAATGATAATTGATTTACTGTTGAAAATGAGAATTGGTACCAAACATAGCCTTAGCCCCTGTTTGACAACCATTTTTTATCTCATTCTTATTTTTCTACAGTACTCATTTCTAACCACACATTTTTCAAATAAAATAATATTACACATAAACCCAAAAATTCTTCTTACTTTTTAACCACACATTCTTTACATCAATCACTATTCAAAAACTCATTTTTCAAAATAATAGGTGTCAAACGGGGGCTTAATAACTTTTCCTTATTTTTCACTCACATATTCTCTATCACATCAACTAAAAAAATGACATTCTTTTCACAAAAACACCTACCAAATAGAGGCTACGTGCCTTCTCTGTTTTAGAGTGTGTTTGATAGATATTAAAATCGGATTGAAATTAGTCGTTATTGTTGACTTTTATTAGATAAGTGAGACCCAATAACGACTATATTTTCAATTTTAATTGGATTTTAATTTATCCCCAACAAGCTCTTAATTGTGTTAGGAAAGAAACTAATTAAAAAATACTTATAATTAAATTTTATTAATCAAAATTGAAAATAAATCAAGTAACACTGGACTCTATACTGGATATGTATGAAAAGGCTTCTGCATATCTAGAAGTTACTTAAGCGAGGCTGTGGTTTAAAGTAATGCCGGTTTAAATTCATATACATCCCCATCCCCTAACCTTAAATCCATTTTCTTCCCATTCTCTCTCTCTGTCTATAGGAAGAGAGATCATTGTCACTGCCTCTCTATCATGAACATAGGAAGGGAGACCATCGTGCTACCGTGACGCCACTGCGGTGACCTAAACGACGCTGCGGCGACGACGACGCTCACGCCACTACAACGCATTGATCACTGCTCAATGTTGTAGCCCCAAGCGCTGCTGCAGCACCGTGATAACGCTATGTGATAAGTGTAGTTTTTACACTTATTTGAGATTCTAAATCATGATATTTTATTGTCTTTTGAATAAAATTTAACCTAATTTATATTATATTGTATTTTGTAGGTAAAACTTTATGTTTAATGAAGAATTGAAGAAAAGAATGCAAAATAGGCGAAAATGGCAAAAATCCAAAGTGCTGTGACTAAATTGACACTGGATGCAAAATTAATTGGGGCGCAATTTGGGTTTCTAAAAATTGGACCACAGAATGATATATATTACACATACATTGAGAGCAGAAGAAAAAAGAGGATTGCGGTGGTGAATTGCATTATATACAGACACTTGGGCGGCTACATTATGGGGATTTTTATACTGACAGTTGCTGGTTGGTGGAAGAAAAGGAAACGCACAGAGAGCTAAAAGGAGAAAGAAAAAAGGGGCTGAAGAGAGATTTTTATTCACGCAGAAAAAGGCAGCTTCTGGGTGGGTGGTGGTGGATTTGATGACAACAGTGAGGTGGTTTTGGTTTTGATTTTGGTTATTGGAGTGGTGATGGTGATGGTGATTTTCCATATTTTGATGTTGTTGGGGTGGTTTTCGTTGGTGGTGCAGGTGGAGGTGCTGGCGGGGAGGGTAAATCTGCAGTGGCAATGGCAGTGAAGGTGGTGATAGTAGGCGACATTGACAGAATGAGGGTATTTGGCGATGGGGAGACCCTTTCGTCAGTTGCTGGTGCGGTGGTTGGTTATGGTGGTGGTGGTGGATCGACTGTTGCAGAGAGGTGTTGGAATCACTATGGTTTCTTGTTAGTTTGTAAAGGGGTGTTGGTTGGAAATGGTGGTGGTGATGGCGACGATGGTAGAGGCGGCAACAACGGCTGTGAAGTGATGGCAATTCTAGGGTGTGGCATTTTGGATTTGATTCATTGGTGATAAGGTGATGGTGGCAAAGTGAATGTTCTGATGATGTTGTAATGGTGGTCATGGTCACAAATGATGTTGTTGGTGAGGTGCGGTGGTGATGGCGATGGCTGTGGGGTGGTTGTGATGGCAGCAGCGGCCACAAATTATTTGGTTGATTAAAACTAATAAATTGGTTAATGTGCAATTAATAAATAATATGTGGTCAATGAATTATCTAATTTGTGACTAATAAATAACGCGTGACATTAAAAATTATTATGTTGTGACCAATAATTTGATAAATTGTAATTGAAAATTAATTTATGACTAACTAATTAGATATTTTGTGATCATAAAATAAATTGTGACTTGTAAAATTTATGATTTGTGACCAGTGAATAATATGTGACCTATTAATCTGATAAATTTGTGATTGATAAATAAATTGTAACCTATAAAATTTTTGATTTGAAATCGTGAAATAATTTGTAACTTATAAAATTTATTGTGACCGAAAAATAATTTATGACCAATTATTTTATAATTTGTGATATTTAATTAATAAAATATAAATAAAATTTTAAAAAACCGACATTTGAAATTTTAACTTTAGTTTCTAAATTTTGAGATGTGTTATACTTAATCTCTTATATATGAATTTCTTTCCCTTTTTTATACCTTTAGAAAATTGAAATGGACTTGGGAGGATTTGGCTGAAGTCTGTTTTGAAGGTCGACTTTCGATGATGTGGAAGGAGTTTGTTCAGAAGTAAACTATTGGGCTTATGATATTCGAAAAATAATGAGAAAATTAGGTTCAGTACTGCCCAAAAGCAACAAAATTGAATAATACACTTAATTAATAATTTTTAATCAGTCCTTTTAATTAACAGTAAAGATGAAGATGAAGGCGATTCCTAACCCTCACTGATGAAGATGAAGGCGATTCTGTCAAAAATCACCACCATTAACACCTTCCTCCCTTCTATTCCATCTAACTCTTCATCTTCTTCACGACACGTAACATCACTATTTAATAGGAGACATCTGAAGGCAATCAACGAGGCCTCTCGTTCTCCTCCAATTCTCTTCTTTAAGTTCTGATGTTTCCTCTTTCTTTTTATTTTCTTCCTCGACAATGCAGTTCTCATAAATTTTAGGATCCAACTGAAGGAGAGGAAGCCTTAGTTGTGAAATTTAAGAAAGTTTACAATGATTTGATTGCTGGCTTCCGCAACCTCGAGAATGAAACTCGATGATCAAAATATTGGGATTTGCTTAAGGTGAGTGAACTTGATTATCATGTTGTATTTTTGAGCTATCGTTTGGCCCATGTTCAATGGGGTTAGTGTAGCTATTTTTCATTTTGTATGTTTGTAGGAGCCATAGATTTTTGTTTATCAACTGTAATAAGATGTGTCGAGGGAATTATTTTGTATTGGTTGTTCTTGACATTGAAATAAATTATATTGTGTAGAATCTTGAGATGAGCAACGTTGAGACTCTTTCTCCTCTAATTCTCTCCAAGTGAAGCTTTCACATTAGTATAAGTTCCATATGTGTGCTAATCTTAGCTGTTAAAGGCTATTTTGATGCTAATGTGGCCATTCTGGAGGCAGACGATGACAAAGAACTATTGGAGAAAATGAAGAGGAATACGAAAGAGAGGATTGAAAGACAATGAGTTGTTGTTAAGTCACCGCCAAGGAGATACGTTAATTTCTTCCTTCAAAGATTATTGAATTTTGTTTATGGAAATGTGTTTTTTTTTTGGATTAATTTCTAGTCAATATGTTGTCATAGATAATTATATGAATGATCTTGATCTAAAATGAAATTCAAAATCCTATTATTGATTAGGATTCTATAATGACAGAGATAATAGATTGTAGAATTACTGTGAATGAAAGTATGGTTGAATTTGTGTGTGTTTTCAATGTGTATGATATTTGCTATTATGAATTTGAGTGTTCTTAATTGGGTTTGAATATATAAAAGTTTGAGGGGATAGGGAGAAAAAGGTGAATGACAGAGAAATTTGTCAGTCGACGAAAGAGAGAGAGAGAGAGTCCACTACATATGGAGAGAACTGTGAATGAAAAGCGTTGCACTGAGAGTAAAATAAAATGAGTTAAACTTGTATATACATGATCTGAACATTATAATTTGAGTATATTTATACTATCTACGTAGAAGTTTCACATCGTTGTTTCTCGTATATTTTGAATTCATTGGCACTTCTTGCCTGTGCTTTGTCAAATTTGTGTTAATTGACGACGTGAACAAAAAGTAACATGTTCTATCACTTTCAAATTAAATTTGTCATTTTTTTGAATTTTCGTCATTTTTTTGAGTATTTGTTACTTTTTTGAACTCTTTTTACTTTTTTTTTAAAAATTTATGTCTTTTTTTTTTGAATTTATGTCACTTTTTCTACTGTTCGTTACTCTTTTTCTTTTTTTTTTTTTTAAATTTATGTTATAAGAGCTATCATACTGATATCCACAAAGAGTCTAATTCCATACCTTGTAAAAGACGGGAATCGAACCCTCACACTGCGGCTGCCAATTATATAATGTATATCTCCTTGTAATTGATCATCTTCCCATACTAACTATAGTAATTGGAGTAAAAACTTTCAATGGTCACTGAACTTGGAACTTTGTCATGTTGTGGTAACTCAACTTCAGTTTGCTGCCCATAGGTCACTGAACTTGCCCACCGTTCACTCCTTCCCTCACCACCAGTCTCCCGTTTCTTACCTGGCTGGACGACGTCCTAATTGGTAAGAGACGGCGTCAACTCCATGCCACGTTGGAACGCCTTCAATACAAAACCACCATTCTCGCCTTCAACCCGTTCAATTTGAGGGAGGAATCCCCAGTTCGAAGAGCCCTAAACCAAATCCCCCATTCCAATCCAAGCCAAATCCCGTCGAGTAAGAGCCTAAATTTTGTTTTTCCCTAACGGCCTCCCTTCAACTTCGAACACATGACGTTGAACGACCCTGAAATCATCCCTCCAAATCGAAATCGCCCTACCTTCTTCGAACCCGTTCAGCCAAAATCATTATGGTGCAGACAATTATTTGTTTGAATATATGGTGGAATAATTGAGAACTCTTGCTGAAAATGTGTGATAACCTTCATGAAACCGATTTTACCCCACCCCTGTGGAACCCAGTTGATAAAAGCAGTTGGCAATGTCATATATCTGCTTGTGAATTTGTCTTAGGTGTCGATTTTTTAATTAATTTCAATATCAGGATAAGTTTGTCTTCGAACTTGTAAATTTCAACGAGGAAGTCATGTTAACTGCAATAGTTTCTACTCTTTCAGAAGATTTCATGGTTTCTTGAAAATTCTTTTGTTTATACTGACTGAATATTTTTTCATCTATATCACACATCACCATATAGAATGTGATTCTCTGTTTTATGTTCAAATTTTTCTTATGCCTTTTATTAACTTCGGTAGTAGATAACTCTTACATCATCATTTCAGCCCAGTGGATTGCATTCATTGGATTTCTGCTGCTCAGCTGTCGTTGCTTGAAAGCGAAATCCATAGGGTAGAAAGAGTAAACGTAAGAATACTTATCCTGATATAAACGTAAGAATACTACAAATGTACAACAAATTCACAGAAGTTCATTAGAAGCTTCAACTCCTCACATGTTTCGAACATATTCACAGAACGATTCCCTTACATGTTTGGAACAAATGTACAACAGGTAGTGTTTCCACCAAGCTGATGAAGAGCATTGACAAAACTCTCGTGCAAGTCTGGAGACCAACAACGTCTCTGTTTCCTCTGTTGTAGTTGAGACCTCGCATGACCAAAATTCACTTTCGAACTCAATGAAATGATCCCACTTTAGCCATAGGAATTGACAGTGAGAGCGCTTCAACTGGGATAAGTCCATTCTCTTCCTTCATTGGTTTATTCAGATTACACAAAATCCCATCCTCTCCTTGGCAACTCTGCAACCAAAAATCACATTCAGTTGGTATAAATTCCTCCATTACTGCCTCACCTTTTCTCCATTCCATTGCAACCCTTCCTCAGTCAAGCTCTTAATTGCTACCCAAAAAGCTCAATCACTCAGACGATTCCAGGTGGGGCGATTTTGGAGGAATTTAATGGCGCTTCAGGTGGTGTTTTCGGGTTGGAAGGGATTTCGAATTGGGGAGAAATCTTCGTCGCCTTGGGAAATCGATTTGGGGGAGGGAGTTGAGGGGCAATCGGTCTATGGCATTTCGATTTAAAGGAGGGTGTTGAAGGATTTCGATTTGGGGAGAAATGGCGTTTTTACAGCCTGCTGAAATTGCGTCCTACGTGGGCGTCATTGAAGCCGTCGACTGCCATGTCGGCGGCCGTGAAGCCACGTCGGATGGGTTGAAACGGCGGGGATGACGGATGATGGATGGAGGGGTTGGTTCGTAAGTTCAGTGACCGGTGAGAGGCTAAATGAAGTTCAGTGACCACAACGTGACAAAGTGATAAGTTCAGTGACTAATCAAACTTTTTACTCATAGTAATTGTCTTGATAAATTATTATTACTTGAGTAATTGATCATTTTCTCGTACTAACTATAATAATCGCCTTCATAAATTAAAGTTGTTCTGCTTATACAGGGTGGGGGTTACCTCCATCGACAACTCACATACGCGGGACCCACCTCAATAAAAAAATAAAAAATTATGCACACTCCTATGTGAGTTGTCTGTGGATGCAGAACAACTCGATAAATTATTACTGCCTAACTAATTGGATGCAACATATGTCAGAGTAAAGAATCGCTAGCAATAATGAAGGGGTATGTGTTGTGAGGCAATACATTATACACACATTAAACGGTGGCCGTCCGTCCGTCCGTCCGGACCACAACATAGAGACATGACATGAAAGGCTTTTTCATTTGGCCTTTTTGTGACGTGGTGAGCATTCATTGGTGCACCAAATACTCTTTTTGTTTGGAAGTTCCTGCTATCTTTATTTTGTTTCTTCAATAGGATTTTGATTATCTAATGATGGCTACTTTTATGATTATTTACAATTTTATAGATTAAAAGAGTTATTCTCTATGTAATTCATATAGAGAAAATTATAAAAATTTAATTATCTTTTTAATATATAGAGTGGTGGTCAACTTGTTACCTTTTAGTTGCATGGATATTTCTAAAAGATTGGCATTTTCATTTCACAATTTAAAAGTGAGAAAAATTAAATTTCCAAAACTAGAGAAAAAGTTTCATAAACTCAAAATATTTTACTAGTTTTTTTCATTTAGGCCCGTTGACAAAGCTTTTGATAAAAAAAATTTAGTAAATTTTGACAAAATTGATGAAATCTGTGAACAAAAATCTGATAAAAGTTGTAGATCTTAATATTGTACGCCGTTACAACTTTATATTTAATGTATTAAAAAATTATTTCATGCACATGCCAAAATTGATGAAAGCCAACCAAACTAGAAAACCTTATCTCACACTAAACCCTTTTCCAATAGATGATCAAAATCATCATTGGGCACTCGAAATTACCCCGCTTCTCGTCGGATTTCTTGGGGTCATGACCGGTGCTTTATTGGTTGCAATTTTCTACTGCATAATGGTGATATGCCATGGTATGCCAAGTACTCAAACATCGACAATTTCCACGAATAAAATGTAAAGTATTCCTAGGAATAGCCAAGACCATACGAGGAAAAGTTCAACATGTAGTTACTTCAAGATATTGTAAACTAAAGGAAGGCTATGAGGTTCGGGTTTTGTCTGAATGCTTGCATATATTTCACGTAAATTGTATCGATGAGTGGAGGTAGAATTACCCCAGCCGCCTCCTTTGTCGTGCTGATACTTGATCAGTGACATTGACACGTTTTATAAGTGTTGCTAGAATTTGGTGGCTAGTGGTTGAATATGTGACTTTGGGTACAAGTTTTGTACCTTGTTCTGATTGAGTTTTATGACTTGAATAATGTTAAGGCACCGTTTGGTAACCATTCTTTTTTTCATTCTCATTCTTCTACTAATTTTCAACCACACATTCATTAATAAAATAATATTTTCCATCACATCAATAACTTTTCCTTCATTTTCAACCACAAAAAAGGTGTGATTTGACACAAAGAATACATTTTTTTCTAGAATAATGGTTACCAAACGGTGCCTAAGTGTGTATTCCATGATGTACACCTTTGTTGATATTGCGTGACAATTTAAAAAGTGTTGGATGAGAAAGTGTGTGTTTTTTAAAACTGTCGAATTATGTGCTAGCACGTGACACAATGTCAAATATGATGTACATGTGGCATGATTGTCGTGACTTAGCTTAGAAGTGAGTTTATCATGTAACATTGTGAAATAAAATGTTTGAATATGGTTGTGAGGATGACTTGGTAATTAGACTAAAATGGTAAAATTGGTCAAAGCCCAAAATATTGCTGATTCAATTCGTGCTGTACACCGTTTAGATACCCATAAATACGGATTGGGCCTGAATTTGCTTGTTTCTATTGGGCTACTATTGAGTTTTTCGTTGGGATTTGGGTATTAGATATATATATTATAATATGCATGAAATCCCTCCAATAAGAGACTTCATTACAGCAATCCCCCTCCACCCTATTAGTTTTACTATATTTGGCTACATTTGAATCAATAGCTGGATATATAAAATGGAATATGGGCTACGAGTAGGTTCATCTGGGATAGAAAACCAATAATGCCGGTTGAAATTCCATGGTTGAGAGAGAAGAACCTCGACTACCGCCTCTATGGCGACGGAACTTAGAGGATCCCTTTCGTTGCTAATCACTTGGTGAAAAAAATTCGCACCTTAACCACAAAGCAAAGAAGAAATTGATAAAAACTTGATCCCGGGGTTTTAAAATGGTAGGCCATCGGGTTGTTCTCTGAATACTGGTATTTAGTAACACTAGTGTTACAACATTCTAAGTGACACTAAATGTCATTAAATGAGAAAAATAATTGAGTGAGTCACCATAATTCTACGTTAACATTGAGCTTATCACATAGTGACATACAAATTGGTGTTCTAGCACCAGTGATGGTACATAACATTATTCTTATTGTTCATTCCTTTATATGTGATATGGTCTTTTTACCTCGATTTTCCTGCCGTCTAGAATACTTTTTACCCAAATTGTGACTTAGATATTGTATTTGTGTGATTGTGATGTTTAAATGTTGATTTTACCCAAATGATTTTTTTTTTTGAATTTTTTGTAGCTTGATAATTACTTTAATTTTTTTTGTAAAACATTAAAGATGAAATATAATTTATCTGTAAATTTTAATTATTATTATTTTTAAAATTTTTAAAGTTTTGATAAGTACATTAAATAAATTTTAAAATATTATCGATGGAATATATTTTGTCTATAAATTTTAATTATTATTTATAATTTTTTGTTGAATTTACTAATGGATTTTTTCATAGAAAAATGGATAATTGATATTTAATATTTTTCAAATATTCTGTGGGTAGTTTAATATGTATTTTTTTTAATAATAATAAAATATTAATTTGTTTCTAATTTACTATTAATTAGTCGGAAATAACAATGGAAGTCGTCCGTCGCTAAAATTCTATCTCTATTGTCTCCTTTTCTAGTAGTGGTAGTTTAATTATTTCATTGATATAGACCTGTTTTATTATTCTCGCACTTTATATATACGATATATTTTAGGGTTTCATAGGATTAAGAAAGAGAGACGTACCAACGCAAGCATGACTCACATGCAGTAGGAAGGGGTCACTGGGTTGACTAAGCAAATAGTTCATCCCATCAAGTACTATTACTAAGCTCATTATCACAACATTATTCATCGTTGACTTGATCCTAAATGTGCTACTCTGAGTTCACCAAGCGAGTCAATGCATTGTGTGAACGGTCGACTCGTTGCAATATATCAATGACAAACCGAGTACACAATTTAACTAGGACCTCGGTCAAATCATATATGTGAATTTTATATGTGGTACACATATGGAATTGACATATAGCCGGGTTGATTAGCTCGTTGTACCTGTGACTAAGTACCGGTTTACGTGACAATGGGCTCCTCAAATCATTATATTAAAATACATCACAACTCTATTGAACAATGAATCAAATGACACACTACTACCTAGGCTGTTGCTAATGGTGATGAATAAGATTTCTCTTACCAAAAATGTACAAGCAACAATTGTGTCAAGTTCTAACTATAGAAAGTTGGCACGGAGAAAGGAACGAAAGGGATAGGTCATCTGCTCGGCTCTAGCAATAGACAACCAATATAGGATACTTTGCCCAACATGTTCAAATCCATTCCTACAATATCGATCAAAAAATTGGTAGAAGGTATATCTTTTATTTTTTTAAGGTTCATTTGATTTCTCATACACCAAACCTTTGATTTCTCATATACCAAACCAAATCTAACACAAGCATGTTTACTAAGTGTGTGCATATTTTTCAAGGTGGATGGTCGATTTGGCTCTTTCCTTCTAACTAAAAAACCCTCAAATTTTAACGTACGTAGAGACGAATAAGATTTTAATTGTTGTCAATTACCAACCTAATCAATACTAGAATACCTACATTTCATTTTTCTTATTTCAACCCCTTTTCAATCGTCTTATCTAAGTTGACTTTGAAGCTAATCTAAGTAGATATACGAAATGTATGACTAGATTTCATGAAGTACGCTATCGTTTTTTTTTTTTTTCATTTTCATCCATGATCCTTTGGTAAATTTGCTCTCATTTGTTTTTTTAATTTATTAGCATGAGCTTAATCAACCACTCTTAAATTCTTAATTAAGTTGTACTTTATTTATTTTGCCATTAATAAAATGTTTCACCAGAGTGACTCAATTAAACCCCTTTTTGTGTTCTATCCTTTAAACTTTTTTTTTACATACTCATTTTGAACCACACATTCACAAAATAAAATATGTTACACTTGAATTCAAATTTTTTCATACTTTTTAATCACACATTCTTAAAAAATTCATTATTCAAAATAATGTTTACCCAAAAAATGGTCATCAAACACGGGAAAAAAGGTATTGCATTTTGTACTGATTGCAAAGAAACCACGAGGCCACCTTTCTTCTCCTTTATCAATGTGTGTATATATGGCTGAATATATTATCATAATGTATATTTATGAATATACTACAAAAAAAGTTTCCAGCGACCAAATAAATTGGTCACTAAAAGCTATATTCTGGTTGTTGAAGGGATTTACCGACCATAAAACCATGGTCGCTAATACAGCATCGTATGGGTATAGTGCACTACGTACAAACAGTTCCATGCAAAGAAAAAAGGTAGAGAAATGGAAGAAAGTGGGGAGTGGGGAAGGAACAGACCGGATTTGAAAAAAGTTTTATTCGGTTGGGACACTCTTGTTTCCAACCAAGCACCCCCAACGCTCATCTTTTTTTCAAATTTCTTACATTAATTTAATCATTTTCTTGAAAAGTGCCATTAGAATTAAGCCAAGTTTGCTTAATGCTGGTGTAAAACTGTGGAATAATTAGGCTGGGAACCACTTTTAATTACATATTCCCTTTCCTTCTAAATTATGCAGAAATAAGAAGAATGCACCACGCAAGATCAACCAAAAGCTTAAAGGTTAAGTAATTAAGAAACCTGACCCTCTCGAAACCCTAAAAAGCAATAAAAGAAAAAAGTCACAGAATGAAAACAAAAAAGTATTGTGAATGGTGTGTGTATATATATGTGTGCTCATAAAGCTCTTACTTTTATTAATTTAGCTTCTTATTCTCATTCGCTCTCTCTCTCTCTCTCTCTCTGTGCTCTAACCCTCTAGCTAGTTGATTTGATTCTCCAAAAACCATTACAAAAGAAGAAAGATCAAGAATTAACCATGGTTTTTTCTTCAATTCCAGCTTATCTTGATTCAGCCAACTGGCAAGAGGTAAGGTTTTCTTTGATTTCGTATGTTTCAATGGCTTCTATGCTAAAAAAGCTAAATTCTAAAGAAAAATATTCCAATCCCTTTTTGTTTCTTTATTTTTTTGACGTCTTTCTTGCCTCTTTAATTTTGTTGAATATACCAGATGTTCATCTTCTGCTTTTACTGATTTTTTCAGCATCAAAATCATCAAATTGGAAATAGTTCCACAAGCTCTTTTCTTCCACCTGCACCACAGCCTGCACCGCTTCCACCACCATCCCAGCAGCATCCACATGCCACTGGTGGTTCAGGATCAATTCGGCCGGGCAGCATGGCTGAACGAGCCCGGTTAGCTAGCATACAGATGCCAGAGGCTGCCCTCAAATGCCCTCGCTGTGAATCCACAAATACAAAGTTTTGCTATTTCAACAACTATAATTTTTCGCAGCCTCGACACTTTTGTAAGTCCTGCAGAAGGTACTGGACTAGAGGCGGCGCTCTGAGAAACGTCCCGGTTGGAGGTGGTTGTCGGAGAAATAAAAGAAGCAAAGGTTCTAATACAAAGTCTCCTGTCAACACTGAGGGGCAAATTAGCACATCCAGTTCTCCCAATACTGTTTCCTCTAACAATGGAATTACAACCAATCTATTAGACATCAACCCTCAAATTCCGCCTCATAGGTTTATGTCTCCTTTGAGTCAATTCACTGATAACTACAATACAGGTGATATTAGCTTAAGTTACAGTGGAAATGCAACTCCGGTAGTGGGAACAAACGAAAGGAATTTTCCAGTAGAAAGCAACTTACTTTGTGGTCAGATTGGTGGTGGAATGACTTCCTTATTATCAAGTGGGGGCATTGAGCAGTGGCGGCTGCAGCAGCAATTCCCTTTCTTCGGTGGTTTGGATCCATCTCCTTCCGGGCTTTACCAATTTCAAGGCGGATTGGAGCAGTCGAGTTTTGTTGGTGATCATACCACGAGGCCTAAACTTTCCGGCTCAATGTTGACTCAACTTGCATCAGTGAAATTGGAAGAAAATCCCAGATTGAATTTGTCAAGGCAGTCTATGGTAAATGATCAGTGGAGTACTGGTGCTTCTAATTGGACAGATCTCTCTAGTTTTAACTCTTCTTCCACAAGCAATCCCTTGTAATTGGTTTATGATCTGCACATGTCTCATCACGAAGCTTAAAAACTTATCTGTAGAGCTTCAAGTGCAGAAATTCACTCTTGGGTCATGAAGTACTATGGCTAGCTAGAATCCAAGCTAAAATGGATTTAACTTTAATCAAGGGATGATCGATGACTTTATCGGCCTAAGATCGACTGAAAACCCTAGGATTAATCGTAGGTTTTTATGTTTGTTTGTTTGTTTTTTTTTTTTTTTCATTTGTAAGCTTACTTTGTAATGCTTGATTAGAAACTTTCATGCTGATTTGAGCTTCTTAAATTATCTATGTCTGTACAGGATAAGAAACAATTTTATCTTATTATTATTATTTTTTTATTTTATTTTTTCACTTCTTAGTATTTTCAAGTGCTAAGCAATTCTCTCGACCAAACATCCTTAGCGTTCTCATATGGTAATTTTAATTCTGGTCAATTAGGGTTTTCTTCGTTTCCAGTTCACCAAAATATTAATATGATGAACCTTTACAAAAGAATGCATGCTTAGATTTTGTATTGATTAATCAATTTAATGTATAGAGTTACCTTTGGTCAGATTAATAAAATATTACAGAAGATTATTTAAAAAGAACTCAACGAGTTAAATTTAGAGCTTTTGGAGTGGAGAAACAATTATATACATAGTGTTATGATTCGATTATAATTTTCTGTTTTTTTCTAGTTTTTTAAATTTGATTTCTGACTTTTTATGGTAAGAACTAAAATTATGAACTTGAAGCCTAGGTAGAAAAATAATCCAGCATTTAGGTATGAACATTTTTTTAGCCTAAAATCTAACTTGAAAGCACTTCTTTCCTAGTTGTTAACTTCAGATTTCGATCGCCGTCTCAAAAGTTTATATTATGTTATAGTGAATGTAGCCAATGTCCAGATTATTTGATAATTAATATTGTCCAAAACAACTCATTTATATCTTTTTTTTTTTAATATACAATAACTACGTTTACGTGAGGATTTTGCGTATTAGAGTTGGTTTTTGTAATAATCGAATGAGTTCACGATCATGAGTTTTCCTTGATGCTGAGTTTAAAAGAGTATAACATTAGATTGCAAATGTACAATTCATTTGTTAATTATGAGTGATTTAGTGCACATCCATATTGGTATATTGAAGTTCTCAAAATGCTTAAGCTTTGGAGGGTTTGATTCCCAACAATTTCATAACAAAGTAGTTCTCTTCATCTTCAAAAATTCCAAACTATTCACTTTTTCTCATGCCTAAATTTTTTCAGAAAATCTACCTAGAGTTTAGTTATAGCTACTTCCCCAAGAAAACTTCTTACGAATCAATACTAAATAATCTTATTCTTAAATGACAGAGAGTGGAATCCTCGTACGATGATAATTATTCTTAGAATATGTAGACTGTTAAGATTTTTATGTGAATAGGGAGAGGTTAACAGTAGTCAGAAAAGACTCGAAAATTCCCTCTCAATTTCATACAAATTATACCTTTCAAACATTAAAGTTAAGTATACCAGAAAACAAAGTGTTTTGGAGACTAGAATGGCGCTTGAATGAACAGATCTTGCACGAATCAAGACCGCGTAGAATATTAAGTGCATTTTTGGTATATAATACTAGAGTGTATTGAATTGAATGTTATATATATAACATACACAGATTTTGGCTCTTCTTTAATATCATCCACTGTATAACTTATTTAGGGTCTGTTTGGCAAGATTTTTGAAATGTCAAAAGTTGTTTATAAGACTAAGAAATTGCTTTTGAACATGTTTGGATATATTTGTTAAAGTGCTTTGTTTGATTAGAAGAACTTTTAGAGAAAGCTGTCATAAGGTTACATTATGAGGAAGTTCTTCTACGAGAAGCACAAGCAAAAGCAAACGCCCTACCAACAAATCCTTAGCATATTTGTGTGCGTTTAAACGACTCGTTGTTGATTGTGATGAAGTGCGGTTAGCAATTCTTTCCCTCTTGTATTTGGTCATGCTTTTGATACTATATCCCTGTATACATTTAGTCTAGAAGAAATACGTATATGCACATGATCTAAAAATAAGGTTTTAAAACATATAAGAGTGCCTTTTAACACATTGTATTAGATGTGATAAGATCATTTTTATTCAAGATGCTTTTAGGATATGATATGCTCAAATTAAATTAATTCAGTAAAGTTAAAATCAGAATTTTAATAAATTTTGATAAAAATTAATAAAATGCGTAGTTAAAAGTTTGATAAAAGTCGAGAGTTTCATAAAATATATTCAAATTCAAAATTCATACCACGCTTTAAGTTTTCATGATGTTAAAAATATAACTCAATTATTTGTTTATTTTTAGAGTTGAGTAGCTTTAACAAGACTTTAACAAAGTGTTTTGGAGACTAGAATTCTTGAATTTTGTACCCCCAATAATCACTTAAAGACTGCATGCATCAGAATCAAAGATGACACCACAAGCGCTTGAATGAACAGATCTTGCACGAATCAAGACCGCGTAGAATATTAAGTGCATTTTTGGTATATAATACTAGAGTGTATTGAATTGAATGTAATATATAACATACACAGATTTTGGCTCTTCTTTAATATCATCCACTGTATAACTTATTTAGGGTCTGCTTGACAAGATTTTTGAAATGTCAAAAGTTGTTTATAAGACTAAGAAATTGCTTTTGAACATGTTTGGATATATTTGTTAAAGTGCTTTGTTTGATTAAAAGAACTTTTAGAGGAAGCTGTCATAAGGTTACGTTATGAGGAAGTTCTTCTACGAGAAGCACAAGCAAAAGCGAATGCCCTACCAACAAACCCTTAGCATATTTGTGTGCGTTTAAACGACTCGTTGTTGATTGTGATGAAGTGCGGTTAGCAATTCTTTCCCTCTTGTATTTGGTCATGCTTTTGATACTATATCCCTGTATACATTTAGTCTAGGAGAAATACGTATCTGCACATGATCTAAAAATAAGGTTTGAAAACATATAAGAGTGTCTTTTAACACATGTATTGGATGTGATAGATCATTTTTATTCAATATGCTTTTAGGATATGATATGCTGAAATTAAATTAATTCAGTAAAGTTAAAATCAGATTTTTAGTAGATTTTGATATAATATATTGTTAAAAGGTCGATAAAAGTCGAGAGTTGCATAAAATATATTCAATTCAAAATTCATACCACACTTTAAGTTTTCAAGATGCTAAAATATAACTCAATTAATTGTTTATTTTTTGAGTTGAGTAGCTTTAACAAGACTTTCACTAGTCAAAGTTGAAATTTGTTGAAGCTGTTGACAGGAGAAGAATCCAATTCAAGCTGTTAGAGTTCCCTTTATGGCTTTATACAATAATATATAGAAGAAAATATTCCCTTAAGCTTTATATAGATGCTACTGTTATTTATATATATATATCCATGTTTGGTGGGATTAAAATTTGAATTTTTATTAAAATCAATAATTAATTTAATTAATAATATATTTTATCAGATTCACAACTTTTCAACCATAAATTTTATCAAATTTTATCAAGATTTGATAAAAATCTCATTTTAATTCCAACCAAACAGGGCGTGCGCGAGCGCATTTGCGTGACAAATTCTGATTTAGCCCCTGTTTGAGTCACATTAAACTTTTCATATTCATTTTCAACCATACAGTTTTCAATAAAATAATAATTTCCATCTCATCAATAATTTTTTCTTATTTTTCGACCACACACGTGGCTCAAACACACCCTTAAATTAAAGAAACATTATTAACTTAAACGCGTAATTAAAGAACAATATAATGAAAATATAAACCTTCATGAAAAATGCTTACATTTAAGACAACATTGTATGAATTCTGATATTCCTTGTTACAACAATAAATTAATTATCATTTTATCTTCTTGACATTAAAGTCTTGTTTGTACATATTCTCGAAACTCATTTTCAATCGTGCAATAAAATAATTTGTATGCTGACCTATAAATTTCTTTACTTTTTAACCGTATATTTTCCAGAAAAATCACTTTTTAGAAAATCTATTAAAAAATATATACATCAAACAGACCCTAAATTTGAATTCTTGTTCATAGCTTGGAAATTATATGTAGGCCGACTTGATCATAGTTACTCAATTATCGTTGAAAAAAAAATTGAAATGATATATTTTTCTTTCCTTAGCACTTTAAATTTTTATGTGAGTTGATTAAAAAGGTCTTGAATGAATCTCTATATTATTCATTTATAAAATTGCCAATCTTGGTATATACACAAGGGGAATGTATAATAAAATACATTAAGCTACCTTTATATTTATGAAAATTTCATACAATTTGAAAAAAATTCAACCTAAACCTTAGATGATATGCAAAAAAATATTTCAAAGAAGGGTCCCCTTTGATTACTAGTACTGTCTTAGTACAAGTGGAATTCCTCACCTTGAAGGAAAAGAATCTCACTTTTGTGAGGATCAAAGCTGCTTACAAAGAACGAATAAAGCAATTCTTACATACATAAAGCTCTCCCTCTCTCTCCTCTCTCTCTCTCTTATATATATATATATATATAGATTTGATTATTTGTCGGTTTGTTGTCTTGAATCCTTAGTCACTAAGTGAGAGTAATTATTGGATGCATCCCTGTAGTGATCCCGAAATTGTCGATAAGCAAAATGTGTTTATATATGTGTGTATACTGTATAGTACGAATAGAACATTGGAATATTGGCTCGGAAATTGAAGTTAGATCTTGCCATGTTCATCAATTCTTGGCGATGCATGCCCACTTCACAACCCCACAAATCTCTCTTTGTTACACTATTTATACACTGCTGCAGCTTTCACTTTTGTATGTATCACAATTGTTAATTATATGTTGGGTCGTTTGACAAAAGATTTGATGATAATTGATGTAATATATGGTTAAAAAGTGGATCCCATGAAATGTGTGTGATTAAAATTAAAATTTGGTTAAGTGTTTGAATCCCAATGTTCACGACATCGCGAGAAGTC